GTAATCCACGATTGAATATTTTGTTTTTTTTTGTTTGTTTTGTTTTGTAATCCATGATCGAATTTTATGTAATCCATGATCGAATTTTATGTAATCCATGATCGAATTTTATGTAATTCATGATCGAATTTTATGTAATCCATGATTGAAGTTTTTGAAAATTTGTGATTTTTTTTTTGTAATCCATGATAGAATTTTTTAAAAATTTGTGATTTTTTTTTTAATCCATGATCGATTTTTTTGAAAATTTGTTTTTTTTTTTTTTTAATTCCATATTATTCAAAGAGAAATGAGAGAGATGATGATTCTGAGGCCACCCTATCCCAGCCATATTATTCACATATCGAGTCCCAATAGCAACAGTGTAGGGATGAGCACGAAATGCTGTAAATTAAATGCTGAATGGCGGTTCATGCAGGGAAAGAACATATCAATATTCGCATATTCATTCAAAAACATGAAAATTCTTAATAGAGTACCCTTATTTTTTATTGAATTCCTAAAAAACAATATTTATAATGAATTTTAATAATTTTTTCGAATTTTTTTTAAGCTTTATTATGACCGATTCACCCGATTCTCGATCCGGATCGCTGATTCGCCGATCCGGATCGGTTTTTTGGAAGCCCGATCCGGGTCACCGATCCGTTTTTTAAACCATTGTCCCTAAGGATTTCACCGTACCCCCTCATCTCTTATCTCCCTTGTTCATTCACTTATGACAATAAAAAGTTAACCCCAATAAATCATTTTATACCATCTCAATCCAAAAACCTTTTTAACCATGTTTTCTCCTTTTTCAACCCTATCTCTCGCGTCTCTTTTCCCTTTTTTTCATTTCACCACTGTGAGCTCTCTCTCTCTCTCTCCCTCTCTCTCTACTATGGCAAGGTCTCTCTCTCTCTCTCCAGTTGCCATGGTGGCAACGCTTAGAGTATGCTCGCCTCTCTCCCTCTCACAGTTAGCCTCTCTCTCTAAATTTTACAGCAGGTCTCTCTTTGAATCTCTCTCTCTCTAATGGCTAACCCCAAAACTCTTAAATCTGTTTTGCTCTAAACCCAACTTCTCTCTCTACTCGTGTGTTTCACTCCTCTTTAACCAACATTTCCATCTTTAACCCCAATCCCCAATTTTATCATACACTTAATGGGTAACGTGCATAAATTCCTTCAAGATTAGTAAAAGCAAAAATACTATTTTAGTAGAGAGAGAGAGGGAGGGGGGAAAGAACTCATACAAGAATGCACTTAGTATGGTATCTAATATATACACAATATATTTATAAGACCAAATAACAAAATCAAGTTGGAGAAAGAGAGATAGGGATGAGAGATAAAAAGTTAGAAAGAGAAATCACATAGCCATTAGAGAGAAATTGCATAGTACATGGCCATTAAAGAGATATCATATGGTACATTGTCATTAGAGAAAGAGAGATTTAGAGAGAGAAAGGAATGGCTCCAGAATTTAGAGAGAGATTAACATATAAGAGGAGAGGAGAGAGACCAATACGAGCGAGAGAGCGAGAGCCCTCAACGTGGTGAATTGAGAGAGTGGGAGATATAATGCATTGAGGGGCTGAAAAGGAAAAAAATATAATAACAAAAGATTTTTGAAACGTGGTGAATTGAGAGTGGGAGACATAATGGGGTTGAAAAGGGAAAATATGGTTAAAAAGGTTTTTAGGTTGAGATGGTATAAAATGATTTGTTGAGACTAACTTTTATGGTCAAAAGTGAATGAACAAGAGAGATAAGAGATGAGTGGGTACGGTGAAATCTTTAGGGGTTTTCTTATGTCGCTTGAAAGAAAA